GGCCACGCTTCTCTTGATGCAGCCCAGTATAGGGTTACTGGCCGCTTGGGCTGTAAGTGCACATTACCGGCTCATGTTCAGCTTCTCGTTCACCACCACTCCCAAGTCCTTCTCTTCAGAGCTGGTCTCAAGCCACTCATTGCCCAGTTTGTATTTAGAGGCATAGGTCTTACTATAGCATTGCTTATCAAGCAAACAAGTTAATTTTAATGAATTCATACTAATGAAGATGTATAAATGTAATTTTCTCCACTGGAATACAGCAGAATAGGAATTTCTTAAGGTTTTTGGTTGTTTTTTTCTTTTAACTACTTTCTCTGGACATGTGGAGAAGAAATTGGTTTTTGTGGTAATATAGTTGAAATGTGTGCATTTGTGCACATACAAGACAGCATTTTTAACAAAATTCCCATGCTTCTCCAAATATGAATTGATATTGAAGCACTTTGGTCCTTGAGTTTTCACAAAGAAATTCTGTATTCCCTTTTGAGGTGCCGATCTTATGGGAAGAGGAAAAAAGAAACATAACCTAAGAAGAAGGTATAATGAATAATAGAATTATCCTTGCTTTCATGAAAGTAAAAAAAAAAAAAAAAATCTCTTGGAAATACTGTTTATCTTGGAAGTAGTTCACATTCATAGGAGAACCTTGTCCGAAGGATAAAATCAGACTAGCTGAAGCTGGAGGCCTGCTTCTGTGTTTTATATTAAATATCTTTTTGTAAAAAGAATAAAACCAAATTTCTCTATATAGTGTACATCAATAATAACACACTTCATTTTATTAGGTAGTCATGAGGTTTTTTTTCTTAACTGTTTTCTTCACAGTATTGGAAGTAGCAACAAAGATTTTATGGGGTTTTTTGTTGTTTGGAATAATGCTCTAAAATGTTCTTGCTGTACTGCAATCTAAAATACATGTTTATGTTTTTTTCCATTTTTGTAGGAAGAGTTATATGCAAATCCTCATTCTGTAGATATTGAATCAGAAGATTTCAACAAGCTGCCTCCAGAGATAAAACATGAGATCTTGACTGATGTGAAAGAATTCACAAAGCGAAAAAGAACATTATTTGAAGCAATGCCAGAGGTAATATTTAAAATTATTTTCAAGCCATCAGAATGAAGCTGTTGCCATTAATGCAGATGAAGGCTACATAAGATTATCACATCTGGAAAGCTTTACCCCTAGGCCTATTTAATAAGAAATGTTATGCTGAGGGGAAAAAATCCCAACAAGATAATTACTTTAACAGAGCCTTTCCTTGTGTGTATTCAGTCCTGTCTCTTGCTTTCCACCAAAAGTGGCAGAGCTAATTCAGTTTGGCATGAATGGAAAAAATCATCCCGTGTCTCCTGCCTCATCAGCATTATGCCCAAGATTTCAATTCCAAGATTGTACTACTGGTGTGGATGAACCAGGCAGCATGAGTGCAGCTTGGATTGCCGACCCTCCGGTTGTTAAGGGAAGTGGGAGCTGGGAACAGGCTTTTGTAGCTTAGGCAGATGTGTTACTGAAACCATTCAGAGAGAAATGGGGAGTCCTAGAGTGCCACCTCTACAATAGCTTTTCCAGAGCACAGTTAGATTGTAAGAGTACCATATACATCAGATCAAATGATAGCTTGTGCCCAAGTGTAAGCTAAGGACCATTATCTTAAAGCCATCCACAAGTGGATTCTGTTTTAATTGCATTGTTTTTAAGATGGGAACCAGCTCCTTTAGCCAGCTGTTTTGTTGCTCACATCGTTGTGATCCCACTATGTTTAGCCAGCATTCAGAACTACCTAAGAGTACCTGTTAGAACTGTTGTGTGCTACCAGGTTAGTGTTGCTGCTGCTTGGGAGTGTAGCAGTCAGTAAAAGACAAATGTTAACCTGCTTGAAGGAAACTCTTAAAAGGCTCTCCAGAGTGTGGTAAGTGAACTTGCTTAAGAGGTGCAGCTAGTGGCATTTTATTTAAATTGACTTGGTTGGTTGTTTTGGTTTGTTTTTGTTTTGTTCTTTTTTTTTTTTAAGGAGGCCAATGACTTTTCCCAGTACCAGCTTAGGGGTTTGCTTAAGAAAAGCAACCTCAATCGGTGCATAGAAAACGTACAAAAAGAATTGAGTCAACAGCACTCGGGTGAAATCCAAACACAATATGAAAATGAAGGTGGTTTTGTGAAAGAAGTGGAATCTAGGAGGGTAGTCTCTGAAGATACTTCTCACTATATCCTGATAAAGGGTATGTCAGGTCTTCATTTTGTAAAACCTCGTTTGGTGTGTGTAGTCTGTAGCTGTTGGTTTTAAGGAAAAACCTGAATGTTGTTCACAGGTGCATGTAGCCAATACTTTGTATGAAGTGTGCATTACTGTTAGACATAATAAACTGTGATCTGTAAACGTGTATAAAACTGATTTATTAATCTTCATATAATGACATTCATTATGTAAAATGGGGTGTTAGTGTAAAGCAGTTTTATAAAAAAAAAAATCAACAAAAAACTTTATTTCAGGTATTCAAGCAAAAGAAGCTACAAGTAGAGACTTGGAAACTACTGCAGGACCCTCATCAAAAATACTTGAATTTACTAAATCGAATAAAATCAATGAATCTCCTGCTAATGCAAAGCTAGTTGCATCTGACAAGTTGCAGACAGAGAAAGATAACAATGTGGTGACAGCACCACCCTCTCCTCGGACTTTGCTTGCTATCCAGGCAGCTATGGTAGAAAGCAACTCAGAAGAAGAACTGGGGGATGAAGATACAGGACGACTGAACATGAACCAGTCTGTAGCAGAGGAAGGCAGTGTGTCTCCAAGAACGCTACAGGCAATTCAGCAAGCTCTGAGTGATGATAATAAAAGTGAGGAAGCTGCTACTGTTAGAACCGATGGAGTGCTACCAGAAAGATCAGCAGTGAAGGATTTTCTGCTTAGTAGCTCAGATGAGGAAGATCAGATTCCTGAAGTTAGTGAGGGAAAAAAAATACCTACATTGACAATTAAGTCATCAAAACAATTGATTATGCAAGACACTGAATTTGAACAAAAGAACCAGGAATTGGAAAAAAATCATATTACACCCAAGGACACCAGTATATCCAGAGCTGAAAACTATTCTTGTATTGACAATAATAGAAAAGGCAAAGAAGATCTAGGCAAAGAAGAAACTGGTTCCAAAATGGACTTAAATTCTTTGGGAGATAAGGATTTAAACTCGTGCACACAGAAGCCAAGCTGTTCCCCCATGCAAAGTAGCATAGGGGCTTTGATTCATGCTGAAACAACAGACCTTTCTAAAAATGAGGAAAACTTGAAAATTTCTGAAAATACAGAGGAAGTAATTTTGCAAACAGAAGAGAATGTGTCTGAGGGACAAAAGGATATTAGACTTTTTCCAGAAACAGAAGGTCCTGAGGAGGAAAGAGAAGGGATATCACAGTCTGAAGACAGTGATTCTGATGGTATGTGCTTTTGAATTGTGTAAAAAGAAAATAGGACCTTATTGTATTTGTAGTCAGTTGAAGTTAAGCTCTTTTCCTAGTAAGAAATGTTTTAGAATGCATCTACTCCTACATATGGGGGAGGTGGGAAGAAAATCTGAGCTATGTTTTTCCCCTTGGTGTTATGTTTTGTCATTGAAACCTGACTATAGAGTATGGAGACGCAGGAAAGCCTGCTGTTCTGTACACTGAACTTGCTTAACTGGTGTATTAATGGTCAACCCCTTGGTTTCTGTAGTTTCCCAATTCTTACATCTGTTTACTGCATGTAGTGAAAAAAAAAATCACTGCCCAAATTAAAACCACATTTAAATACTGATTTTTAAACAGGCAGCAAAATGTTGAAATCTTTGTTTTCCTTTAATAGGAAGCTTTATCGAAGTGGATACTGAAATCAGTAATGATGCTGAGTTTTCTACAAAATATGATGAAAGGCTGGGTGATGAAACAGCACTTCCAGAAGTGGAGGTGGACAGACATGATACTGTCACACAGGACTTGCTGAAGGAGTCTGATGAATTGCAGTTGGCAAACAATCAGAATGTTGAAAGAGAAGATGATGGTAAAGACGCAGAGAATGAGTGGCAAGACATCAGTTTGGTAACTCCTTGTTACTTGTTTTAAGCTAGTAATGAAGTGCCTTGTCCTCAAGTAGTTTTTAAGGAAAACCACTGGACAGCTTCTTAGTGTTTCATTGCTTTCTCATATGTTTCTAATTCCGTGGGAATGGATTTTTCTTTAAAGATGTAAGTTAATCACAATGTCTTTGAAATCAGAGGGGAACTGTAAGAGTTTAGCACTCTGATGAATAGACCTATCTCTGGTCTTACAATTTACTGCATTAGAGAAGCTATGACAATTTCCAAGCCTGATTTAATGGAGCATATACTACTAGAATAATTATAGTTGGATACTTAGGTATACTTAGTTCAGGAAAGCACTACATTCTTGAAATTATTAAAATCTTGTTTTATTTTTCAGGAAGAACTGGAAGAATTAGAAAAGGACCTTTCTGCTGAGCAGAATGTGCTTCAGGCTCAAAAACAGCAGCAGGAACGCATTGCTGCTTCTGTAACAGGACAGATGTTCTTTGAAAGCCAGGTAGTATTTGGTGAATCATTTTGATTTGATACAGTATTATATAGTCTTCTCGCTCCACCCCAGTCAGACATTTCCTCAAAAGCTATTAGTAATTTTGCTTAATTACAGGTCACCTTTTTTCTTCTTGAGAGCTTGTTTTCTTCAGTCTGCTTGATTTAAAATATTGAAAGTATAGAGAGAATCTGGGATTCCGACAGTTTTCAAAAACTGTTACAACATTATAAAATAATAATAAAACTATGAATAAAAAAAATTAAGCACCAACTTTTAAAGGTTGGGCCAGTTTGATCTTTCCTTCTTACTGTGAAAGATGCAAATTGAATAAAAAGATACTAGGAAATGATATTCAGCAGTATGGAATTGATCTAATCTGGATGTTAGGTAAATTGTGATTTCTCCTAGGGATTAAAAGATAAAGACTTAAAAGAAGCCTGTATGGAACCTAGGTTGGTGTCCTGGGTAATTGATTTTGAGTGATCTCACCAGTAGCACCTGCATAAGCCTGTAACTTCTGGTTCAGTATCAGCATTTAAAGGTTAATGCAGTCTGGTGCAAGGACTACTTGCAATACAATATGTTGGGGTTAACATATCTGTAATATAGTAGACTAGTGATGGTATCTATGATGTAATAAACTTGTACTAATAAATTAATTCTGAGAAATATAGAAATGCTTTTATTTTCTTTGCATAAAAGGGATAATTTGGGTAGTCTTAAAACAACTGAAATGTTTATTTCCTTTTTAAATATTTGCTCATAAGTGTTTCTTCACATGATTTTTTTTAAAGGCCAGTAGATTGTGCTTTTGTAATATCAGGCGCTTACATAATGGAGATACACCATTATACTTGCAGGTCTTTTGACCTTGTGCTCTTGCTTTTTATTACAGTAACGTGTTTCTTCACATGATTTTTTTAAAGGCCTGTAGATTGTGCTTTTGTAATATTAGATGCTTATATAATGGAGATACACCATTATACTTGCAAGTCTTCTGACCTTGTGCTCTTGCTTTTTATTACAGTAAAAGTTTTAAGTCTTGAGACTGACTTTGTCAGGGCACAAAAAACAGCTGCAGTGAAACAGTGGAAAAAAAAAAAGTGTGTATGTGTGCATGTATATGTGTACATATCAAATATGTATATATAAAATACATTTAGCACCTTAGCTTTTGCAGTGCTAAGCTAGGGAGCAGGAGAGTAAATGGAAAACATAATTTCTAGAGATGATGTAATCTGGAATTGTGTAACTAACAGAAGCCTGTAAACTTAGTGTGTGTGTTTTAACTGAGGTTAAATAATGTATTCTGTAAAAGCAAATTGTGTAAAAGGCATCAAAATAACATGTGTTTCAAAACTCCATTCAAAGGATAGATTAGTCTGCCCACGGTTTCCTGCTTGATGTGTTTCTCATATGCTTTCGTACTTGGAGCTAAGGTGATGACTGATATTTTTTAACCTGCATCTTTCTTTCCTGGAGCCCACATAATTGTAAGGGATGGACTTTTCTCCATGTTATGGAAAGGACAATACTTAAGTATGCTGGTGTAATTAAGATAGCAGATTCTCAAACTGTGTAGTAGTAGTGTGATGAAGTAGTGCTTGACTTCTGTGGCACTATCTACGTGAGATGAGTGAGTGTGAATCTTGCAGTTCTGAGTCAAGCAGGAGTATAGAGAAGTTAATTTTTCAGGTGTAATACAAAGTGATTTCTCTCTGTCCTACAGGAGCTTCTCCGTCTGTTTGGCATTCCGTATATCGAAGCTCCGATGGAGGCGGAGGCACAGTGTGCCCTGTTGGACCTCACTGATCAGACTTCTGGGACAATCACTGACGACAGCGATGTTTGGTTGTTTGGCGCACGACATGTTTATAAAAATTTCTTCAGTCAAAACAAATATGTGGAATATTATCAGTGTGTTGATTTTCAGAACCAGCTAGGTAAGCCTCAGGGATTGATTTGTTAGATACATGGCAGCACTGTCTTGTTAAAGACTGTATCTTTTTGAAGTGTTATTTCCTACAGAATTTTGTGTATCTGTTGCTACAATGCCTGTTCTTTGGAAAGTCTAAAGACGTTCAGTTGGGTGGTTGTTTTTACTGCCAGATGACCCATCTGAATTTGCAGACACCTGCATTTAATACACTGAGTTAGTGTGATGATCATCAAGGCTGGAAGTATGAACTACAGTACCAGTTTCTGCGTAAATGTCAGCGTGACTTTTCTGATATGATGGGAAAATTATATTCTGATGTCATCAAATTTGCAGTCTTCTGGAAATGGATGTTAATTTTGGACATGCTGACACATAATGTATTAGAAGAGGATCCAGCATACATATATGCTCTGTAAAATGTTTTTAATTTAGTTAATACTGACAGCTTTTTATTTTTTCAGATTGCTCTTGTACAAGTCTAATGAAATTGTTGCTAATCATATTGAACTACTAAGCTTCAGTCTCACATAGTGTATTAAGGAAAATATGAGCCACTTTTAGCATTTTCTTGTGCCATGTTTAAGCAGAACTGTGTTAAGATGAGTTTTGACATTTTCAAAGTTGAGAGAGGTTATAGACTTGGAAATAATATTTTAATGTCTTCAGCGTGTAAAATTTCACCACATTTTTATGTGGTGAAAAAGATGTCTTTAGTTTCTTCTTTCAGCAAATAGGATGAAATACTTTTTCCCCTACTTATACCTACTTAGGTATGCTACTGGAAAGGCTTGCTTGGAAAGGATTGCTGTAAAAGCACATGTGTGATTTTTAGCTAGTTTTTAGCTGTTATTAATTTAATAAACCAGAGCTTTTATTTATTGGGGAAAAATAGTCACCACTGGTCTTCATGTTGCATTCCTCTGCCATGTTGTATTTCTACTGCTTTTCCATGCATTGCAAAACTCTTCTCTCGACAGTTGGTGGATATCCAGACTAGCATGCTGATGGTCTTGCTTTGTGTGCTTAGACACACATCCCTTCTTTTCTTCACTGATTTTTTTTATTATTATTTTTTAAATCTAAACTCCTGAGGCTAGTCACTGAAAAATCAGTCTGGTCGCCCCAGATCTTGCAGCGTATCAAGTTGAAGTGGCCAGCAGAGTTCTTTCTAGCTGTCTCACAGGCTCTTTTTGTCCACTTAGTAACTGCACTAGCACAGAGCAAATGGCTTCCAGTTTGGGAACATTTTTAAGAAGCGGAGGCATTGATATTATGGACTAGAATTCAAAATTGAGGACTTGAATGTTTTTATTTCTGATTCAGGAGTTATTAAATTCAGGTCAGCATTAGATGAGAAAAAGGACAGTAACTGGAGAAATATATGTAAAATAATATATCTTAGCTTTTAGAAATCCACAATTTCCCAATGGTCTTTATGTTGTAATGTTTTAATTTTGGCAAGATGTATTTGCCAGTTTAGGACTATTGGTGCTTGAGCTAGCAGTAGAATATTGACACTGCTCCAGAATACAATGTACCAAATTCTGATGTTGAATTAAATGTAATTTTACAGAGTTAATGCCTTTGTGTACCTTTTGGTTTTTGCCTTTCAGATAATATATTATTTTTTTAAATTGTAAAAGAACAGATGCTGAATCCACTGGTTTTATTTGGTTCATGCACTTTCTTTTCCAGGGTTGGATCGAAACAAGCTAATTAATTTGGCATACTTGCTTGGCAGTGACTACACTGAGGGCATCCCAAATGTTGGCTTTGTAACAGCGATGGAGATTTTGAATGAATTTCCTGGGCATGGATTGGAACCTCTCTTAAAATTTGCGTATGCTTTGTCATGTTTTGGTTTTTTGTCTTTCCATAATATGAATATTAGTGAGTGTACTTTTCTGCTGCTTAAGCATACAATAAAACACATGACCATCATTAAGGAGACTGAGTTAACTGTAAAATATGTGACTCCAATATATCACTATTTGAAATGGCAAGTAAATATGATGACATGTTGATACAGCAATTCCAGTGAGACTATTGAAGACAATAGAGCAGGTGTAGAACTGTGCAACTGCTTCTTGAGTTCCTTGCAGCGTTGGATCCCTAGTGGAGTGGAGGTTGTTTCTCCCTGAGTTTGTGAGAAGGTGCTGTAGCTTGATCGTAGAGAAAAAAAGACTTGATGACTTGATGAGTGAGGAATGGATGACCTGGAAAGAGACAGACAGGTAGGCTGTGGGAAAGAACAAGATTTGAAGAGGGCCAAGTCAGTTGTATTTACAACAGCAGGAGTTTTTTTGTTTGTTTTTTTGGGGTTTTTGTGTGTACCAAAAGCCCTGCAAAAATGATCGTTACATGTGGAACGTTCTTCCCAAGTGAGGCTGAATTTAGGGCTTCTGTTTGGCAGCTTATGGGGAATCCAGGTGATGTTTGCTACCATGACTTACAATGGCTGCATTTACTGTACATGTTTTGTCTTTTCTACTTTCAGATTATATGGCCCTTTGTCCATTTTTATTTGGAAATTTCCTACCTCATCTCATGTAGTAACTGAAGTAGGGAGACTAAGGCTATTGGAACTAGCATGGTGGCTCTTTATATTCCAAATTATATTTTATGGAGGCAAATGATTGCTTTCCTCTGTTTTTCAGTGAGTGGTGGAATGAGGCTCAGAAGAATAAGAAATTGAGACCTAACCCACACGATACCAAGGTCAAGAAGAAGCTCCGGGAGCTGCAGCTTTCTGCAGGTTTCCCAAATCCAGCAGTGGCAGAAGCATACCTGAAGCCTGTGGTGGATGAGACAAGGGGTTCGTTCACCTGGGGGAAGCCTGATGTAGAGCAGATCAGAGAATATCCTTTCACTGTAGTTAGCTAAAAGTACTCAGATGAAAGTTCAAAAGGCTTGTTAGTGAGTCAGTAACAGAGTGTCAAATTCTTAACATCTCATTGGTATGAGGGGCCTCCAGCACTGCCTGCATGCACTCTCCTATAATGATCTCAGCTCTGGAATGGAAGGGAATGCAGGTATGCATGTGTGGCACTCGGGGCTGCTCTGCCTTCCTCAGAGAGTGGGCCGCTTCTCTTTGCGTGCAAAGAGAGTCTCATAACTGGACTGGCTGTTTTGATGTGATGTTATGCTTCAGTAACTGTGCTGTGCTTCTTTCTAGACTTAAAGTGGGATTGTTTGCACACTCCTGGTATGTTTCCCGTCTTTCACAAATAAGTTTCAAAACGTGGTCAGCAGTGATAATTCAGTCTACACTTTATCCCTGGTTATTCACTGCATTTCTTGCAATAATGTCTATTTCTTGCATCCATTGCAGCTTGAGCTGCAGTGAATTGTTGAAAAGCAGATGGCAATGGATGCAGATCTAACAGTATTTTAAACAGTAAATGAAACTTCCAGTGTGTACAAGTGTGAAAGTAAGGTTTACTTACAGGTATTTTGTCTTGTGGCAGTACCATACAGCCAAAATGAGTTCTGTCCTCACCAAGACATGCTTTTGGAAACGTTGATATTAGAGAAAAAGTTCTGTATCTAATAGAGATGTAACAATGTGATTAAGATATGTAGTGTAATACTGAAACCATCTGCATAAGTGAGCTGTAATAACTTAGAGTATTTTCTCTGGGTTTGTGGTAGAAAGAGCTTTGAAGTAGAGTAACTTTCCTCTAGACATTGTTTTTTGAGGAATTTTCATTTTTTGTGTTTACAAAATACTAGTAATTGCCATTTTGTGAAGTTCCTTAACTTTCTACACATTCTGTCAGAATCACTTTGGCTGGTCTAGGACAAAGATAGATGAAATTCTTTTGCCTGTGATAAAACAGCTGAACTTGCAGCAGGTAAAGTATAAAACTATACATAGTTTAAGGGTAACTGGAAAATTTTAAGAGAAGCATTTAAAAATGAACAGCAAAGCTTTAATCTAAAATGCATTTATCAGAAACTGGAATTTGGCTATAGGGGTTTTTTAATATTAATATATATATTTGAAAGTAATTAAATTTCTCTAGACTTCATTTCTGTATGATTTAGGTGTGCTGCATAATTCCCATTGTTGGTTTAAAATTTTGTTATCTATCAGGCACCTATCTCAAGTCCAGGTTGCTCTTTGTTCTAGATGCAGCTGAAACTACAGGAACCTCAAGCACCTTTAGTACTTTTAAAAGACAGTGTGCTGGCTCTAAAAATGTTTTAAAAAATGCCCCGAGATTTGGGTGAAGTGAGACTGACCATTGGGTACCATCCATATCCTCTGAGGAGGAGTGCAGACTGAACTGTTGAGCAAGTGCCCATTAATAATATTACTCTAATTTCCAAATAAATGTTCTGTCAACTTTAATAAAAGTGAGTAGTGGTACATGCTGTGATAGTGTGGAAGTCAGTTATAAAACTCATCACCTGAGGTCAGATTCTTTTCTGCTTTTGCCATAAGCAAGATAGATATGTAGTCTAAACCAGTGTTCTAGGTTCTTTCTATCACTCAAGGGAGTGAAAGGTACCAAAACCGGTAGTTAAATCCAAATACTTGCAGGTTGACTAGAAGATTCTTTGGAGGTGTCTGTCTCTCTTAGACAATGTTAGGGAGAAGATAGAGGACTGGCTTAGTCTATACAGTAAGCCTGGCCGTGGTTAAATAACACAGATCCATTGTGTGTGACTGCTGCTGGTTCTATGCTTAAATCTTTATACTGTAGCAGCATGTGTTACAATGAACTTAAATGAAGTAACTGCATTTTATTACACTGGCATATGCAAATACAAAGTGCACTTACAATATTTGCTTAGTAAACATTCTGTTGTTTAAACAGCTTGAAGCTAAGGATGCGTTTGTAAGGACATACTTAAGAGCACTACTACAGAGATTCTCTCTATTAAGGTTGCAAATAGCAACATATGTCTAATCATCAGTAGCACAGTGCTTATAAAATTTCACTGGAGTTTGCTTATTTAGTTTCTGTCAAGGTTCTTGTTGCATAATTTATGATAAAGTATAGGTATTACTAGAATAATGCATCTTATTGTTCACATCTATTTGCATGCATATTAAATTAAGTAGTCCTTTGTCCTGCTTTAATTTGGGATGCTTTATAGTATAGCTGAGATAACAACTGAATTCCCATCACAAAAACATCCAAAGGCATTTCTCTGTTTTATTTTTTATAGACTCAGCTTCGAATTGATTCATTCTTCAGACTTGCACAGCATGAAAAACTAGCTATTAAAAGTCAGAGACTGCGCAGAGCTGTGGCTTCTCTGAAGAGAAAGGAAAAAGAAGCAGCTGATGAAATTCAGGAGGCAGCTGGTGTTATGGAGAGGGAATGTAAACAGCATGAGGAAGGGAAAGGGGAAGGTACTGCAGGCTGTGGAAATCATCATGCTATGGCAACAAAAACCCAAGGTGGAAAGAGAAGAAAACATTCAGATTCCAGAAAAGAACATTTATATGGAGGTGGTTTTATTGGGAATTTGCATCTTTCAGAAACTTCTAGTGACTCCTCAGTAGAAGAATTGGAAAGCAGAGATTTAGGCAGGAGCAAAAAGAGGAAAAATGTCTCTGCACTGGAGACAGCAGACCATAAAGAGAGAAAGGGGTGCAGTAGCTCAAGTGGTGAGGATGAAGAACTGGAAGGTGTAGTCATGGTGACTGCCAAACCTGTGTTTGAGGGCAGAAAAAGGAAATCACAGAATAAGAAAGGAATAAAAAAGAAAAAGTCTTAAAAAAAAAAAACCCTGTAAAAAAGAGGGACTGTATGCATGTGGTTTTTTAAGACTTAAGCTTTGTAAATATTGTAATGAATTTTTGATAAATAATAAAATAACCCTATTTGTCATGTATTTTGTGTCTAGAATGTAAATAGGAGGGATTCTAAATGATGGAAAAAAAAATATTAGCACGTTTATTCGTAAAGATCTAGATTTGGCTTCATATAAGTTTTCTGTTTTGAGATTTTAAAATTGAGCCAAAATGTGATGCCCATTCATTTGCATTCTGAGGTGAGATAGCTGTTAAACGTCACACACAACCTGTTGCTTCCTTAACTGAAAACTTAACTGAAATTTTGAAAGCAACTTGGAATATTTCTAGTTGCTGAGTTAGAAAATCAGCTCAATTAGTATTGTTTTCCTTATTCCCTTCATTATGCCAATCTCAAAAGTTTTGTGCTCAAAGTAGTGTTGCTTGTCGAACCATTCAAGAGGCAGTGTAAGCCCTCACAAAATCTCACAGAAAACCACACAGTAGAGTAAGTCCTTATATAATCTGAGTTGCTGTAATTTTTTGTTCTGAATGTAAATGTCGTGTTCCTCGATGTGGAGTTACATGACTGTGTCCAAAGATGGAATTTGACTGCAAGAGTGATGTTCGGAGGTGCCCGCTGGTTGCAGCACGTATCGGATTAATTTGTGAGAGAAACAATGTGTTGGGCTCAGACTTCCCCCTCCCCACACCTCACCTGTCTCTCTGAGCGATTATAGAATTTATTTGTAGCTCCTGCAGATTAAGAAGGGAAAGCACTGAATGCTGCTGGTCATACTTGTGGTTTTATGTTACATTTTAGTCCTCCTCCTTGCTTATTTTGTCTTCTCATTTAATGTTTCTACTTAAGTTCTCATTGATTCATTGTTTGAGTGTTCAAGTCCATACAATTAAGTTTCATATGAAACATTAGCCTCCCCTAAAAGGATGAAGGACTGAGGTGAAATGTGTAGGATTTGGCCCTTATAGATGTGGAGAGCCTAAAACTAAATGCACAGTGTTTACTGGGCAAAAAACTATCCCTTTTGATATAACTTTTGTAAAATATTATCATATTTTAAGAAAATTCTCAACTGGACAGCCTGTTTAGAGCAGTGTTTTCTGAACCACTCGTGAGTATCACTGAATTTTGCTTTAAAACTGCAGATTGGGTCTCAGTGATTTGTTTGATAGTTTCTAAATGCAGAACACCTATTAATTCCTTCTGCCAAGTACGCTAAAGTACAGAGACCTTGGGTTCTGTATAGTATTCTTACACAATATTTTATTGTTTTTCAGTAACACCTACAAACTACATTTGAGGTTGGAGTCCAGTTTTACTAAAAATTGGGTAAGGGAAGAGGCAGTTCCTGACCTGAATTGATGACGGTCTAAATAAGAGAAGTCTTAAGAGATACCTGTATTTGCTCCCATGGCAGGAAGCGTTGGCGGTCTGTTGAGCGAATGTGCATCTTTTGCAGACAAAAGGGTGGTGGTATGCATATGTGACACGGTGACAGCTGTCTCATGGGGTAGAAGTGAGCTAGGATTTTGGGAGTTGTGCGCCATGTTACAGTTCTGCATTCCAACATGAGTATGAGTTTACAGACCCCTGCCACAAATGTGCCTTTGTGAGTTACCCTCTGTGCTTGGAAGACCCCTTTGACTCTGAAGAATTATATTTAACTCCCTGGTTACTTTTTAGTAACAGTGAGTGGTTACTAACACTGTGCCACTAACTACTTTTTGTAAAAAAAAAATATTCCAAAGTTCATTAGTTTATTTGTTGGAGCTCCCTCAACGGGGTGCCCACTGCTGTTACGAAATCCACTCCCTTACGTAAGCGACAGGGTGTGTGGCGCCCGCTTTGTGTTGGAGCTGCAGCTGTCGGGAGTTATTATTGCTTCTGGTGTGGGGATGTTGGCGACGCGTGACACGCGCTTCAGAGCACGCTTCTGCCTGGGGCCGCCTGGGAGGGCAGCGACCGGGCAGATAAGGACTTTTCTGTTGGAGTACCATCTGTGGAAAGCTGCAAGAGATTCAGGTAATGTTGACGGAAACACAGTGGATGCCGGTGATATTTCACCTGTCTGTGTCTTTTACTCTGAATTTCTTTATATCATTTACTTTACAGGGCATAACTCAGCAGCTGAGCTGTTCTGCACTGTTTAGTTGCTTGTAGTACTCCTGAATTCGTATGTTAAAGTCAGACAGGTTGTTGTGTGGTTGAGTGTACCTCAAAGAATGTTTTCAGAAGGAAAAAAATATGTAGAGGACCATAAAATACCTTTCAGAGTGATTTTGTAATGCAACATTGCTTGTCCTTCAGAATGGAAAGGGACCGTTTATTAACCTGTTATTTTTATCTTCTAATGGGAAGAAAATTTGTCTTTTTTATACTTCTGAGGTAGATGATGAGCTGATGGATGTGTGTAGCATTTACTGCTTTGTGTCCCAGTTGTTTCTAATGCTGCTTGTTATTCTGAAGATTCATGCAAAGACTCTGAATCCCATTGAATCTCTCTTCTGTTCAGCATGTAATGAAGTTACTATTGCCAAGTCCGTAGATAGACATAAACAGAATAGCAATGTTTCTCTTCTGCAAGTTGCAGTGGTGTGTAGGAACCCCCTAAGTTATTTTTCACCTTCAAATAGTTTAATGGCTGCTGGCATTGTGGTGATGAGGGGAAACATTAAACCTGTATGCTTTTTGCAGGGTGGAATCAAGAGAGTGTGGTGTATCCTTTCTAACAAGACAGCACCGTTTGATACTGTCCTCTTTCATCTGAAGCCTTAAAAGGAAATCCTGCCTAAGGCTTTGCACTGTGAGGAAGTTTTCTCAAGATTCAGCATATGTTTTTACTTTGATTTTTTTTTTTTTTTTTTAAACTAGATAGAGATGTTCCTTCACCCATTGCCTTATTTAATTGCATCCCTATTGGATGTTTAAACATCCATATTATTATTTGTTTGCTGCCTGTAGCCATTCCTGTAAAAATCAGTCAGATTTCTGTATAACAGTGCAAGAGCTTTAAAAAATTCAGAGCACTGGTTTACTTTTTTTTTTTTTTCTCTGTGAGCTCAATGGTTTTCTGATTGTAAATTTTATTGCCCTCTGTCATCCTTTTTCTATTACTTTTTTCTTCTGAGTCTGCATGTTCTGTGTCTGTTTATATGGGCACATACACAATCTGTTCTGCATGTTGTCTATAGATCCTGCTTCTTATTCTCATGTGCAACTTTTACTAATAGGTTGTTTCCTTCCCTCTCAAGCCAATTAATTCAAACAAGATTAGATCCTTTTGGTGCAATTTTTCTTCCAGGCATTTGTTGTTACCTTTCCTTTCAATTGTTTATGAGCATACCAGCTCTGATTTGAATTGATTCTAATTTTAAAATTTCATAAAATAGTTTCAAACATTTGTCAAAGCTTTTTTTAATCTAATTGCTTTTTCCCCTCTTTGAGACTGGAACAGTTGAACTAGTTTGCTGCTTCTAGTTCTTTTATGCTTTGAATATTGATATTTATGTGTCTGCATGTTTTCATTATCAATAGAAGTAAATTATATGATAATACATGTAAAAATAATTTTAATTTTTTGTGAAGTGTTATGTGGGGAAAAATAGGGTCATTTTATTCAGGTAAGCTTGTATTTCTCTGTCTCAGGTTTTGTGGCATAGTATGGATTTGACATCACAACATAATCTACAAAATGAACTGATAAGAGAATTGGAAAGACAAGAAGGTAAAATGTTTCTTATTTCATTATATTTTTTTATTGCACTTAGGAATATTAAGTATAAGGAACAAGGTGTCTTGCTGACAATGAGCTATCTTCTAAGTCATTTTTTCTGAAGAATTATGTTTATGGCACTTGTACAGAAAATACAACAGATAGCGCTGTTGTAGTATTCAAGCTATGCAGTAAGTATCTGCTGTGCTGGCATACTCTGGTCCCTGCAGTTTCCTACCAGTGCCTGGCATCTTGCCTGCGACTGGTTCCAGGGAATGAAGCTGTAACTATGACCAAGCTATTCAGGAGAGGATTGTTTGTGGGGTGTCAGTTAGGGAGAATTGATTATTACAAGCTTTGTTTCTGTCTAGACAGCCTCAGACCTAATCTTCAAATACCTTCAGGGGTTGTTGGCAGCTTTTTCTCTTAAGCAAGTTCATGGCTACACATCTTTCAAGATCGTAAAGCATCATGAGTAATCTCCTTTTTAGGAGTCACCAGGAACAGACAGGGTTTTAGGGCAAGCATGTATGTTGTTTTGGGATGGAGTCAAGTTACGTTCTACACTGAATGTGGAAGAAGGAGGAGTTATTTAAAAAAAAAAAAAAAAAAAAATTGTCACAATATTGTTTAAAATCCCAGCTGAATCTTGGTTCATGTAGGGCCAGGCTTTTGGGCTTCTGCTTTTTCAAGAGAGCTCAGTGTCTGGTTTTGCTTTGCTACCTATTCAGTGATGCAAGGTGGATCTTTGGGCATGACTGCAATACTTAAAACTAATTATTTGCTTACTGAACTAATGTTTGTTATTTTGCTTTTCAATACTTAATGTACTCCATATTGATAACCTTCTCTGGAAAGCTGACATTGCACAAGAAGGTGGCCAATAGAAATTGGCATAGATTGCTGTCCCATAAAGCACTGTTCAAGTGCCTTAATCTGGAGATTTTCTTTAATGCAACTCCCTTTCCCATTGTGTAATTCTAACTTGAACAAAGTGCTCAAGGTGATCCTATGCAATAAAGCATGATTGTTGGGGGAAGAAGTAGCTATAAATATAAATATTAAAGATAGAACTACTAAAGACTGAAATATTGATGACTTATTATGTATTCTGTAGTATATGAGGGCTGAGGTAAAGTTGCACAGGCATTTCTATGCTTCTCCAAGCTTAGCTCTCTAGTATCAATACTCTCTTCATGCAGAAATCAGGGTGGGGAGGAATGAGTCTGCATGTAATTTCTTTAGCTTTT